GAGAGAGAGAGAGAGAGAGAGAGAGAGAGAGAGAGAGAGAGAGAGAGAGAGAGAGAGAGAGAGAGAGAGAGAGAGAGAGAGAGAGAGTTCTGGACCATGAAAATGGTAGATGCATACTTATGTAGACCCCGGGTATCTCATTGATGTTTTACGTTTTTCAAGCATGCGGGCGTACCCGCACTGGCTTTACTTGTATATTTCGATCTCCCTAAAACACTCCTAGGTCTCTGGTAAGGTGAAGGGTGTGCTTAGGCAGCATATGGCATTTCGCTCGTACTAATTGTCTGTTGCAGCTTTCGTGTGTTGTTTATGCTGTGGTACAGCTTCATCAGATGCAACAGCCAAGTTATGGAATATCTGTACAGGGGCGACCGTGAGAACCTACTCAGGGCACCAGAAGGGGGTCATCTGCTGTGCCTTGCATGATGGCACAGATGTGAGCTCACCCATGTGATGAAGCAGGCGGATAGGTGAGAATTTCCCATGTCATGGAGGGCGGACTATCATTCATTTATGGAGAAGGGTAACCATCAAAAGGGATCGGGCTCGCTTCCACTGCCAGGGGCTCTCTTCTTCCCACAACGGCGCCTTCGTCTCCTGTGTTTCCATGACTACCGAGCTCTCTTCTTCATTTTCATCTCTGTGTTCAGTGATTCGCGGGGTTCCCATTTCTGTGGCCTGTTGCTGTTTGCAGCGAAGAACATGAAATCTCTCCAAGCTGTGAGGGCCTGGTATAATTGTTTTGTGAGAAGACTCTCTCTCTATTCGTCGAATCCAGCTTGTTTTTCTTACTTGACACTGTTCGTCGAATCCAGCTTGTTTTTCTTACTTGACACAGTTCGTCGAATCCAGCTTGTTTTTCTTACTTGACACAGTTCTGATTTCTCTCCTTGTCAATCTTGAATCCGTCCAGTCAGGCATCCAGAGTAGTTCCTGCTAAGAAGCGAGTTCTTGGGCAGATATACCATTTTTCGAAGACTTTTTGCCCCCTCTCATGCTGCCAGCATATGACCTTCCTGAGCATTGGGGGGGCATGCCGTTGCTGCATCGGCCCATCGTGCTGATGCTGCATCAGCAAGTCGTTCTTTCCTCGACCGGAGAATTGTCTGATCTTGCGAACGCACGAGTCTCTATTTTGTCGACAGTTTTTGTCCCTCTCCTCTCTGTTCTGTTAAATTGTTTAGACCAATGTGGGGCCCACAGATGAGGTGTGAGGCAACACATCTGTGAAGTCTTATTGCTCACAATGCTGTCAGAGACATCTGGTGCTTCTCGAGTTCCCCTGACGCATTTGGCCCGATACCTTTTTATTTGAGCTTCAAAGGGGTGGTTCCAGAAAGTCACTGTAGTCTAGTGCACAGTGCACACCACAAGTAATTGCCTGGGTCTCCCTCTCTCCCCTCTTAATGTGTATGTTTGAGTCTTGTCTTGTAGTTGTGGTGCGCTGACTTTACGATTTTAAAATTAAAGTCGCCTAGATTGACATCTCGCGTACCTTTGCTTGCCTTTTTGCTTGCTCGTTTCTCCTTCAGAACGTCTCAGGGCATACTCGCACTAGGTCTTTTAGGACGGAATCTGGTTGTAATTCTTGTCCACCAATGGATCAGTGCTTGCACCCCCTCCCTCTTGCGAACATTCCATTGATTCATCCCTGCCTGTTTTGCCCCTTTGAACTGAGTCTGTCAGTAACTCTATTGAGATTCAGTCCGGTACATTCAGGAAGTATCGGAGTGAGTATGCCCTATGTCTTGCCCGCGCTATCCCTTTATCTGTCTCTGTCCTTCTCTGCTTCCCYCCCCCCCCCCCCCCCCCCCCCCCCCCCCCTCTTTTCCCTGTCCTTGTCTGCTCGAGTATATCTTTTCTTTTCTCTTATCCCTGTCTGGCTCTCTGATTTCGGCTGGTTTCTTCGAGTGGGTCTGCTGTTTCACGATTTTAGTCATGGTTTGCATCATTTTAGTTAGTGATTAGGAACCTCTGCCAGCTGTCTGTTTTTCTCTTTTTCAAATGACGTGCCTCGAACTTCCTTCCTCGCTTTTGGGTTCTGCCTGGCAAATCCCTCTCACCAGTTCCGCTGCGTGTGCCGAGTCTAGTATCTTCACTGTGCTTTTTTCTTTTTTCCTTTTTCCTGTCCGTATCTTTTCTCTTCTTTTATCCCAGTCTGGCTCTCTAATTTCGACTGGTTTCTTCGAGTAGGTCTGCTGTTTCAGGATTTTAGTTAGCGATTTGCATCATTTTAATTAATAACCTCTGCGAGCCGTCTGTTTTTCTCTTTTGGGTTCTGCCTGTCAAATCCCTCTCACCAGTTCTGCTGCCTGTGCAGAGTCCAGTCTCTTCACTGGCTTGAGTGGAAGCGTTCCTGAAGAGCGGCACATGTCTAAGGCTGTCACTTTACATGGGAAGCTCTTTATCTCCTCTCTTTAAAGCACAGATTGCAATCCGGTATGTTTTCGCGAGGTTTCTGGAATGTTTGTTCGCATGTGGATGCGGGTTTTGTTTCAAGAGGCGATAGGCAGGATAGTAGTCGTCATCCCCATAAAGAAGTTCTAGTTTGGTTGCTAATAAATCTGGCGAAGGCTGCAAAGGCGGCAAAGCACCATTTTGGGTCGTATTGCAGTTGACGTGGGCCGTCTCGCAGACTGTTTTCTCATGATCATACGGGTCGAAGGAGATGATGTGGTGGTTTGAGGATATTGTTGTGAGATGGATGGTGAAGGCAGAAGAGACCAGGAGAGGCGGTGGTAGAGGTTGGTGATGGTGATTGTGGATTTAGCAATCATGGTGCATTACAGAGTGTGTTGACAGCGACTCGATGGCGTATTGTTTTTCGGACGTGGCAATATGTAATCCTGCGATTTGGTTGTTTTTCACAGGTAGCCTGAGGTAGGAGATTACAGTGGAGAGCAAGAAAGGCCTAAATTCAGCTCCCTTGTCCTTGAGAGGCGCGAGAGTGATTGTTATGTGCAGGTTGGCCATATCTGTAGATGAGCTCTTGGTTGGTCATCTGCGAAAGCAAATGTGGTTTCCGGACTCTGACATAGCCTTGCCTGTGATGGGTATTACTGCATACTGATTGCTTACTAACTGAAACCACTCTTAAATATGAAGTTGTCTGCAGTACTGGCATTTGCAAGGAGGCAAATTGGAAAGGAGGCAGTGGTGCCATGCTATCTCAATAATGAATAGCAAGTGAGGTGCAATCTTTCTCACCTACTCGTTCTTTTGGTTTCTGTTGTTCTGTGGAAAAGCGAGGTGCTATCCCGGTTCATAAGGATGATAATGATCAAGAAAAGTGCTGAACTCAACTGTGTTCCCGAGGACCCAGCCTGATAAAAATGGGTTGGGGCTTAACACGGGTATGGGTTGGGGTTTAACACGACTATGGGTTGGGGTTTACACGAGTATGGGTTCGTTGGGGGTTTACATAAGCATGGTTGGGGGCTTACATGAGGGTTTACATGAGTCAGTTCAGTGAATCAATCAGCGCATTGTACGTAGTAGGGGTCACTTTTCTTCTTGCAGGAGAAACGTGGGTAGACGTTGATTTGAAACGTGAGGTACGTTTCTTGATATTATTAGTGCTATATTGTATGAATTAGTGAAGTACTAAATAGTTAGACCCTGATATTCGTCTATTGTAAAAAATTGTATTACGCCCGTGCTACTGGACTTGTCGAACTGGGCAGGTGCTGTGGAATGACCATAGGCACAGTGGATTGGGATGCGCATTCAGGAGGGTTGTGGGCGTTTAGCAGGGGGCAGGGCATTGTAGAATTTGTAAACCAGGAGGCATCCGAACAACATGACCCAGAGATAAAAAAACAATCAGTTCGTTACCACACCATCGCAGGCAAGGGTCGTCACTTTTGGTCAAAGGCCAGAAACAGGGGTCAAAGGTCACGTCCCAAGTCTGAGAAATGCCTAGGAAATGGTCTAAGGTCAAGGGGTATCAGGGCCTGGGTCAAAAACAGCATCTAGAAACCCTTCGAAAATCAAGAGTCAGACCAAGAACGGGAAAGCAGGCCCGAAGTCAAAGTCAAACCAGTACTCAGCATCGGCCATAGAGCAAATGCACATCAATGGTTGTCTGCAGGCTATGAAACCGTATGAGCGCACGTGAGCGTGAGCGCGAGCGCGTACGCCTAAAGACCGCCCCCCTGCTCTCAAACGCGCTCAAAGCGCTTTAAGGCGCGCGCGCTCGTCAAAAAAAGAGCGCGCGCGCGTCATGGGTTGTGCAAGGCAGGGGATGTCGTAGGGGCGGTTGCACGGAAAAAAAAAGTTGGGTGGTCGGGGGTGATTCTTTTTGGGGTGGGGCTAGGTGGGGAAGGTGGTGGCTCTCTCTCTCTCTCTGTCTATGTGTGTGTGTGGGTGTGTGTGTGTGTGTGTGTGTGTGTGTGTGTGTGTGTGT